AATGGAAATAAAACGGTTGGGGTGAATGTATTATTCCATGTACATTTGAGGTTAATGTTTGTACTGGACTACTTTTTAGTTACAGCAGCTATCACTGTGTTGTTATGAAGTCAGTTGTGCCAGACAATTTTGGAAGCAGAGACAGATTGTGGGGGGCACTAATAGGGAAAAACTTAAACTGTTGGAATAAAGGGTTAGTGATGGAAAACGTTCAGGTCAATGGGCTTCAATGTTTAAGGTTGGTAAACACTTGTACACGGACACATACTACCCACCTGAAATTGGCATGTGTTATTCAGGTGTCAAAGTTGTGCAGAGTTGAAGGAAGAAACCTCAAAGACAGTGCCAGAAGGATGCTGGACAGGTAAAGCCTACAATTCTTGCCACATTAATCAAACATTGTGGTGTTAATACTCAATAAGTTACAACGCAAATCAGAAATTTAAAAAAGAATTACTTTACTGGTCATTTTGAAATGTCAAACTTTGTCTGCAATTGTTAACCACCTCAATCTGTATTATATTTTAGGGTTTTAAAAAAATTCCCTCATGTCCAAATTCAACATGAAGGGGGGTGGTCCGCTGCAGAAAGAGGCATTTGAAAAGAGTGCACTGTTCTCGGTCATCAGAGGTATGTGTATAAAACACACAACAGTTACCAGAGAGCTTCTCTCTTTTTTAACACACTGAATGGTGATACACTATATATATCTCGTTTTTGTTTTTAGTAGGCATCCAAGCAAAAGAGAATGACTCCCTGTCACAATTAGTGTAACTAAAGTAAAAAATGATGTCAAGCTTTTCTTGTGCTTTTTTTATTTTTCTTATTTGGCAGATGCTGTGATGACCAACTTCAATAAGCAACAGAGTTGGACTTGAGGAATGCAGTTGGGAAGCATTTTAAACATGAAATAAAACCAATAATTAATAATTTCCTTTAAGTTCACTGTTGGTTGTTTATTTGTCAAAAGTAAACCAACAAAAGGGTTATTTTTTTATATATATATTTTGTCATTTATCCGTAATGTTATAATGTTAAGTGTGATAATGTAGCGAATCAGCTCATGGGTAAATATGAATAATTAACCATAACTAGTTATAATTAACTATTCATATTTTAGATCCACTGTAGATATTTAGCTGACCACTCAGGGTCAACCGTCTTGTCAATTCTAAGAACGTTAATTTCCTGGTTAAAGGAAATAACTTTCTTACTGTACAATTCTATAAGTTTGTAACGTAAATCTGCATGATTATTGACTCCGGTTATAATCTAGCTAACAAAATATATATTGTGTGTTGGAGTGGTCCAGACACTACAATAACATGCTCTTGATTTGTATTAGATTTTTTCTCTTTTAAATATCTTAAGTTATTTAAAATATTTTATTTTTTCATTTTTATTATCTTAAGTTGTTAAAAATTCCATATTTTTTATCATAATATTTATATTTAAGTGTATTGTATTATACAATTTTATTTAGTCATTAATTCTTTTGTATTTTTATCATTTTGTATTGTCTTAAGTTCCAAGTTGTTAAAAATGTTATTTTTCTTAAAAGCTGTATATTTAATTTGTTTGGATGGATTGCCATTTTGTTGTCTATTAGATGTATATATGTAGGCATGTATTAGCTGTCTAATTGATGACTAGTCTATTCTTGGGCTATGATTAGACGTCTATTAAATTTTCACTGACAGCCCAAATTTAGCCTTGTTTTAGCCTAGAATCTGGGCTGTGTTTAGACGGCTAATAGACGTCTTTTAAACGCAAAATTGCTTGCTGGGCTAAGAGGAACAAATTCAACAGAACTGTAAGCTGCCATCCACTCAGTTGTGCAGCACAACTGAAAAAAAAGCACAGTGGTAACTGCTACTTTGATCTGTTTGATCAAATGGTTTGTCTAATAGTTACTTGCTCACTTTCCTAGTAAAGCTGTGCTAACCAGTATTTTTCTCCCGCAGTGCGCTGGCAGACCGGCGGGGAGACTCGTGAAGACAAAATAAAGCAGTAAGAGAACATTAAATTGTTAGATCAACTTTAAAACACATGTAATCACCTTATTTGTTTTATACCAATGCTAAAGGTGAATAAATGTCTGTAAGAACATGGGATGGACTGTATTTGTGTCATTTTGTTAGGTTAATGCTTCAGCTACAGATGATGTGTTGCGCAATTGTTAATTGGGTTTCTTTCTTTAGTAATGGCATTCATTCTCGCTACATAAGATTATGTAGTGTACTGTTATACTGCATTACTGTGTGATATTTATGGTTTCTATAGCCGTGGCATCATTATGATGGTATGAAGAGATGGATTAACTCATGTAGGACGCCACTGAAGGCCTAGGTGTAAAATGCACGGCCCGCTACTGGTTTACACACATGCAAAAAAAAAAAAAACCTTGGTACAATTCATTATATAAAATAAACTGTACAAAATTAATTGTACTACATTAATAAATTGACAACCCCAGTTTTTATGCTAGTATTTGCCTATTACTTCTCCTCCACACCTTCTCCAAGCACACGCTCACCATCCTTTTTAACCTGCTGTGGGGTGTCGTCATTATTTCCTTCATCTTCTATTATTTTTGATGACCCTCGAGTGTTTTCTGTCGCACAACTGACACTACTACCTTCACGTGGCTCTAGTTGACAAATGTTTTTCTGTTCCTCTTTCACAGCTGATAAAACTGAGCCCATTTCGCCTCCCTCACTATAAACAGTATCATTACATTCTGTATTGCACTGTTTGTTCAAATCCTGTTCCCTGATTTCTGAACTATGAGTTTCTTTCATTGCATGTTTTGAGAAGCTGTCGGTCTCTGTTTCTGCTTTCTTGTCCTCTGGCACAGACATGTCATTGTTTGTGTTGTCTGGATCACTGTTCTTTTCATCACAATCTTTTAAATGTTTGTTATCTTTTGTCTCTGTAGTTTCTGGAACATCATTTTTCTGCTTCATGCCTTGTTCTGTCTCACGGCTCTTGTCTGTCTGTTCAGCATCATCATCTTCCTTTTGAGGCAACCCATCATTGTGGCACTGCTGCTGTGAGACACTGTTGTACTGTATTGTACTGTCTGGATCAGTTTGTTTGCCCTGTTTATCCAAGTTAATGCTATTTTTTGGCTCAGATAGCTCTGGGTCATGTTTGTTTTCTTCTGGCATTTGTTCCTGACCACCTTTCAGTTCCTCATTTGTTAAAACCTTTTCTTTCTCCTTCTGCTCCACTCCAGGAAATGTGCTTTCTTCTTCCATGTTTATATCTTGGTCTGTGCACTTACTTAGGCCAGTCTGATTTGAAGATGGGACACTGATGTTTATGGGTGCCTTCTCCAGGTTAGCTGGTGAATCTATAACAAAAATGAACAAGATAAGACAAGATAAACCTCATCTACTCATCTAACACAATATTAATTACTAAATCATTGCTTAAGAAACAGAGTTCTGCTTTAACAACTTATTTTTTTCTGTGGAATACAAAAGGAGTATTTTAGAAATATCCACACAACTGTTGCCACACAATGTCCATGACTACCAAGCTCCAAAAGGACAAAATGTGCTTTATTCAGTCAAGACATATGATAGCTTGGTGTGATAAACAGGCTGAAATTTAAAAAAAAAATTTCACTGAACATTCTCCAAAATGGTGCCGATCTCGATCAAATACGAACACCTCTTAATGAATTGCATCATTAAACATCATAACTGATAAAATCTGACTTCAGACTTTCAGTGTATAATATTTAGGTCTGCTCATCACATAAAGATATCATATGGCTTCAGAATACTTGTACAGCCGGATTAATGACTTTTATAATGCTATTTATTGCAGTTTGCGGAGCTTGACATATTGTCTTGAAAAGAGCTGTGTGAAGATTCTTCAAATTCTCATTTTGTGTTCCACTAATATCTATCATATTGGTGACATAAGTATGAGAAACAAATTGACCAAATTTTCAGTTTGATTGATCTATTCCTTTTTTTTACCTGTGTTCAGTCTGTCTATCGCTTTTTCTTCCTCTTCCTCCTCTTTTTTCTCTCCAGGTGTCTGGTCTTCCTCATTTTTATCTGCATCTTGTGTCTCAATCTGCTCCTCAGGTGACTCTATCTGACTTTTCTCTTTCTCCATTTCTTCTTGAATTTGTAATAATTTATGTCTCTCTCTGTCCGTTTCATCAGGTTTGCTGTTACCGTTTTCTTCTGCTTCATCGGCATTTTCCCTGTTTTTCTCATTTTTGTCTAGTTCTCCTTCATTTGTATTTCTTGAGTCCTCGTTGTTTTTTTCTGTTATAGCAGACTGTGGACTTTCCTTCAAAAGTTTTTGTCCTTCATGAGTTTCTCCCACATTCTCCAATCCACTGTCCTGATCCCAATTTTTATCAGCAATAGATTCTTTTGGAGCTGTAAGTCTGGTGCGACAAGGGAGTGTGGCATCAGATGAACCTAAAACAAACCACTCAAAGACCTTAACAACAGATTCAAGTGTCAACCTTGAAAGTCATTCATTCTCAGTAAGTGCTGAAAGTTTATAGTGATATACAGCAACATGAGCAACAAATGTGATGTTAGCATGTCTAGTTACAATACAAATACTAATAATGATAATAATAGTAAATCATTTGTTACCTGGCATAGCCTCCGTTGGGACATTTCTCAACAGGTTATCACATTCACCTACATTAACAGAAAAATGTTTCATTATTATATAAAAAAATATTTCATTATACAAATGATCATGCTCTATTAACTCTCTATTTGAGTGTTTAGAACACTCTGAGTATAGCTGTGCTTATAAATGAAAAATACTGTCAGTTATTGGTCACTCATTGCAAAGTCCTTCCTATTTAAAAGGCTCAACGCATCGTCACATAAATTATCTATCACGCAAATTATACAGTATGAAAATATCGTTTGGTGAATTCCAGCTTCCAGGTGGAACCAAAAACTTGTGTAGAGCCGTAGATCTTTGCACATTTGAGAGCAATGGCTCCCATAAACTTCAACTGAAGCAGATCACGAACAGCACTATAATGTGGTATAATGCACATTCACAAAACATATTGCAATGCAGAGAATATTTATATACAATGACAAAATATATTTCTGATCAAATTTTAAAGGAAGCCAGACTTTCTGAACAGTCAACAAGCAATTGCTAACTAGAGCTATACAAAAAGAAGAAAAAAAGCTTACTAAAAGAACTGCTATTTCTGTTTTTATAAGACTATTTGAAATAATTTTTATGAGGATGTTTGAATCAAGCTAAAGTAAACGAAAAATAATATAACTTTAGTTTTGCAGAAACAGAAAATCAAGCAAAGAAGAAACTAATTTTAAAAAAATTCCAAAGTGAGAACAAACTCTTATCTTACCATTTTCAGAATCCATTTTTTTGAGTTCAGACTTCCTTGCTTCTCGTGCATGTACATGACAAAAAGAAAATTATGTTAATCTGTGTAATACAGGTGCATTTCGATAAATTAGAATGTCGTGGAAAAGTTCATTTATTTCAGTAATTCAACTCAAATTGTGAAACTCGTGTATTAAATAAATTCAATGCACACAGACTGAAGTAGTTTAAGTCCCATAGAGAATCTTTGGTGTATTGTCAAGAGGAAAATGAGAAACAAGAGACCAAAAAAATGCAGATGAGCTGAAGGCCACTGTCAAAGAAACCTGAGCTTCCATACCACCTCAGCAGTGCCACAAACTGATCACCTCCATGCCACGCCAAATTGAGGCAGTAATTAAAGCAAAAGGAGCCCCTACCAAGTATTGAGTACATGTACAGTAAATGAACATACTTTCCAGAAGGCCAACAATTCACTAAAAATGTTTTTTTATTGGTCTTATGAAGTATTCTAATTTGTTGAGATAGTGAATTGGTGGGTTTTTGTTAAATGTGAGCCAAAATCATCACAATTAAAAGAACCAAAGACTTAAACTACTTCAGTCTGTGTGCACTGAATTTATTTAATACACAAGTTTAACAATTTGAGTTGAATTACTGAAATAAATGAACTTTTCCACAACATTCTAATTTTTTGAGATGCACCTGTATAATCTCTGTGTTAGAGATGTATTTTGAAGGTGATTTGTTGAATACTTTTTCATGGCACTTACACTGTTGTTTTTTACGTCTGTAGAGGAATAATGCCAGCGCAGCGAACACAATAACGAGAAGCACTGCTACTATTAAGACTGGAAAAAGCACAGGAGGGCTTACTCCGCCTGCAAACAAAACCATTCAAGAAATAGCATAAAGCCTCTAAATCAAAGTCTCAAGGTATTGTTGAATGATTTCTAGCAAACCTGTGCGGCAGTCTTGCAGAGTAAAGTCTGTGGTCCTGCTTCCAGCTTTATTCTTCACAGTGCAGGTATAGACTGAGTCACGGTTTTTCTCCTGTTCATCAACAAGAAGTGTTGGTCCCAGCTGTTTTATATTAGGTCCACTCCATTCATAGCTTGTCTGAGTCTGGGATTCCACTGAACAGTACAGTTTTTTCAAATTTGAAGTCTCATCCAGTTCACAGGTTACCTGAGGGTCTGGCAGAGCATCTAAACACAAAAGCAGATAGGTATTTAGTGATAATCAGCTGATATTTGGTCATTTTGAAATTAATCAATCAACAATTAAAATTAATAAAAAAAAATAATGGTAACACTTTAGAATAGGGACCACTTATTCACTATTAACTACAAATTTTCCCTCAATAAATTCCTAATTTGCTGCTTATTAATAGTTAGTAAGGTAGTTGTTAATTTAGGTATTGGGTAGGATTAAGGATGTAAAATAAGGTCATGTTGAATAAGGCATTAATATGTGCTTAATTACTACTAATAAATGGCTAATATTCTAGTAATATGCATGCTAATAAATAACTATTAAAGAGACCCTAAAATAAAGTGTTACCAAAATAGTAATACATTTTCAGTGAATAATACACTTAAATTGTTTTAAATATTTTTAAAGTATAATAATAATAATAATAATGATAATGATAATAAACCCATATCACTTGACAATTATATACAACACCTAAACTTTAGGAATGCACCATACAGTAGTTATAAGTGTGCTATGAATTAAATTAGCTGTTCATGTCTTCTCCAATTTGTACTGAAAATTATTACTTAATTATTACATAATTTAGGAAGTCAAACATTTCCTGATATATACGGTAAGTGGTCTATTCACTGTACCACTAGGCACTAATCTGCACATAATCATCTGAGATATACAGATAGCTTACCCAAAACTGTCAAAGTATGACTGGAGGTTTGAACCTTCCCATTGATCGAAATTTCAGACTGATATTTGCCACTGTCTTGGCTGCTTAGTTTTCTTATCTTGAGCTGTCCTGTTTCAAAATCAACATCTACACGATCTTTAAATGATCCATATTTCAACACCTGACTCCCGTCATACTCCAGAACCTTGTTGTTATTATGTATCCACAGTATATCTTCAGGCTTTCCACGGATGCTTGGAGTAAGTGTGATCTCGTTTCCACTTTCGCCATAGTCATCACAAAAAACTAAATCTATAGGAGATGGGGAAAAAATAACAACTTCTAACACTCTATGGGGGAATCTCAGAAAAACAAAAGACAAATATTTATAACGACAAATAGATAGATAGATAGATAGATTTTATATTTTGCTATAAGATTATTAAGCAGGTTTTATTATTTTCATTGTAGCATTATTTTAATATTTCCATTTTTTTTTTCATTTTCAAAAATGCTTTAACAAGTTTCAAGACATTTTCCCCCACAAATTCTCATTGCAGTAATGTGTCCAAGTGTTTTATATTGACTGACACTGATTGTCATTACTTTAATAAAGCAACCTATACTGTATAATGTCTCAAATTAAAATAATAAAAACACAATAGATACTCCAGTTATAAATAATCCAACTGTGCATTTTTTCCCCAGTTAATATTCTTAATGGCAACAGATTTCATTTTCGTTTTACAAAATATAATTACTTATTTCATTCTTTTGATTTTTGGGGTGAAATATGACCTGGACATGTTCTTGGTGTGTTTCATTAAAGGGGTCATATGATGCGATTTCATTTTTTACTTTCTCTTTGAAGTGTTACAAGCTCTTGGTGCATAAATTTGCAAAGACTAAAGTCTCAAATCCAAAGAGATATAAATAAAAGTAAAGAGTCAGCCACACCTACCTAAAACGGCTCGTTCTAACACGCCCCCACATGTCTACATCACTATGTGGGAAGATTTGCATAACGCCGCCCAAATGTTCACGGAAAGAAAGAAGGCATAACTTTTATTCTCGCTGTAGTATTGTTGTTGCCGCCGCCATGTCCTGAAGACGCTGTGTGCTTCGTTGGGAAAGCGAAACTACTTTGTTTGGTCTTCCAAAAGAGGACGATATCCGCTTCGTCATGCCTGGAGCTGAACCATGCTGGTCGCTGAGGAAATACTTCAACTTAGTGCTGTGGATCGCCGGCACATTTTATGGAGGACTGTTTACTGATCCTGGGAGAGTAACGTTCGACTAAAATGCCGGCAGTTCTGACTCACGCAAGTACGTTTTCATTTATCATTTGCCACTGACGATTCAAACGCGAGTTTTGGGCAGTGTAGAGTAGCGCTTGTTGTTTGTTATTTCTCCGATCACAAATGCAGACAGGGTTTTATGTTTACGCGGCACGATGCAACGCAACGCGTAAAAAGACAGTATAAGTCATTATAATCAGTAATTATGTCCCCACTGGATGCAACAAATGCCTCGTTTGTAATGGGTTTTAATGTTTTTGTCTCGTCTCTCCGGCCGGACACGCCATCACAATATGGTAAGGGGCGTAACATTTCCGTCACACGCTTGAGGTATTCGGCCAATCATAACGCACTGGATAGCTGGCCAATCAGAGCACACCTTGCTTTTCAGACCGATGAGCTTTGTAAAAATCGACATGTTTCAGAAAGGCGGGGCATAGAGGAGAAACAATAATGTACAGTATGTGGAAAGTAATGTGGTTTTTTTACTTTAAAATGCATAAACACATTTCATTACACCAAATACACAAAATAATGTTCTTTTTAGCAACATCGTATGACCCCTTTAAACAACAAGTTTCTACCCTGCGATTTTTATTTATTTATTTGGCAACATAATGTTGTCAACAAACATCAAATCACTTTTAGTTTTTATTTTAAATTAGAAATCACTATAATGAATCTTATTAATGGAAGGTTTTATACTTTATCTGTACAAAAGATCACAGAACAGATTCAGTAAAAAGTTCAGTGTAAGTCCCTAATTCAAAGAGAGATTGCAGCAAAGCTTACACACGTCCAACTTTTAATTTTGTTATTCCGACTTCAAATATGCCTTACATGTTACTCTGTTATCTAAAATAATTCTAAACCAAATCCACAATTCTTTAAACTATGGCTCATTAAAGAAATATTTCCGTGAATGCCAGTTGTGGTTTCGACAAAACCAGAGGTATATATTTCCCACACCGTTCATTGCGGGTTTAGCCTCAAAATAGGCTGTCTTTCCTTGAATTACGAGTTACCTCACCTCCGCTCCATGTTTCGAAAGATTTTGGACTTACCTTGAGACAAGCAGAAACATGTAATGTAAACCAGAAACTTAATAACTGCCATCTTCCCTCGAGAGTGTGTGTGGGGTGCTATGGCGACCAGTCAAGGCTTAAACCCAGAACAATTGAACATTAAAAAGTTGCCACAGTGTTTTGAGGCAGTGAGAAAAGAAAGTAAATGAAAAAAGGGCATCGAGCGACCTTTGAAATGGGCGGAGACTGAAGGTGAACGCACCTTTATAAGTGCCGCAAGCAGTAGGCTAAACAATCTGTGCGCGTGTTTTGGTATTTCTTCCATGATAATATTTACACTAAAAGCGACCGCAGGAAATATCACACCAATAATATGGATTAGCGAATACCGAATTTGTCAGAATGAGAACCTGCTCTTTTGCTAACAGCGATTCGAAAATAATATCCTTATTTTAAAAATAAAATTATATATTTTTAAATTTGTAAATAAATAAACAAACAAAAACGCAATACTCTTTTTTTCTTTTCTTTTTTTCTCCTGGACTTCCTCTTGGGGCCCCCAACTTGTCACGGACCCATGTGCCCTGTTTACTCAACTCTTTACTCTGCATACCGCATATCAGCTCTGCTGTAGCCTATACTCCCCCTTCACCTGTCCATTTGATCTGTTAGTGACTATACAGTATGTACAGGATATTGCACCCTATGTGAAGTTATCCACATTCAACCTTAGGATTGCATTATGCCTTTCTGTCCCTATCTTCACATTTCCTCCAGAAGGCAGCATTGCACCGCAAGACTGACAGCACATTATGTACAGCTGCACTAAAATTGGGAACCCAATTGTGAGTCCTAAATTAATTTGATACAAATAAGCTGCCCAGAAATCTATTGCAAAACAAATATATAGATTGGCCATGCATGAAATGATGCTATGTTCATATGCTATTTTAAAGGGATTTGTCTTATTCAAAGGGAACAAAATGAAAATAGCTGCATTTGTGTGCATTTGTGTAAACTGCTTGCATATCAAGGAATAAAATACACAATAAATGTGTCAATTCAAAAGCAAACATGCTTTTCACTATTGTTATATTTAAATGCTTGTTACACTTTATATTAAGGTGTCCTTGTTATGATGTAATTATACATATAAGTACTAAGTAATATTAATTAACTACATGGTTAGGATTAGGATTTGGATTTGGCTTGGGGTTACTTGCATGTAATTATGCATAATTAATTGTTATTATAATATTAAGTACATGTAACATACAAGGACACCTTACAATACAGTGTTACCAAAATGTTTTATTTAATATTTAAAATCATGGCATGGAATCTACAAGGAAGTTTCCAAACAATAACAAACCTTTTGCTCTCTCTCTTTTAGTTGCCTTGTAAATGAAGAGACCATATTTATTTTTCCGTTTATATATTTTCCCTTAGCATAAACAATAAATGTTATATTTAGATCGAATTATATAACCACCTCTGAATACATTTCTATCCCTAAACATAACCCATAAATTATCCCTAAAACCACAGGGAAATGATAGGTGAATGAGAAGCCTTGTTGTAAGCCTAAATTTGACATTAACTGTAAATCTCACTCAGATCTCTCAAATCTGATTGGTTGGATGGAGTGTTGTTCCAGGATCAGCAAGGATGTTGATTAAGGAACATGTTTAACTTGGTGAAATCATGTTCACTCACCCCCACACACTCTCAGAGACGCACATACAAGAAATAATACCACTTTGAGCTTGTCATCTTAAAACAGAGCGACTCACTCAGAGACCGAGGGACAATGCTGCTAAACTTGACATTAATTCTCTTCAGTTTAATCTTCATGTTCCCCCCTGGTAAGTTGTTGTTAAGTTATATACTGTATATTTAATATTTCTGGAATACCACTTGTCTGTTTACAGACAATTTTTCCTCTTAGTGAATTATATGTACACCAAATAAAAATTGTTTTGCGTGCTTTTTGCCTTTGGATCGAATTTTTGTTTCATTTATCATTCCTCAAAGTTGTGTAACAGAAACATAAACCTCTTTTCTGCTTTTTACAGATAGTAGATGGTTTGTTTTAAAAAAAAAAATGTTTTGCTTGCGAGTAGAAATCATTTGCATTTAATAGTATTTCATATGATTTCATATGAATAATTTATTCAGTCATATCATATAAGATTGATTCCTTTGGGTAAAACCATTTGCTTGCAAGTAGAAATCAATCACATTTCATTGCATATCCTATAGTTTCATATAAATTATGTATTTACTCATATTTCTCTCATGTAAGATCCGTTCTTTTGAGAATTGTTTTATTTGTTTATATATATTAGACTAACCCTAACTTAGACTCTAAAAATGTTTTATGCATTTAAAGGTCTACATGCAACAAATGCCAATAAAGACAAAGAACAAGAGTGGAAATAAAAATACAAATGGTAATTGGCTATTTCCCTCACAAAGTTCCTTATGACCATGTTTCCACCACATAATAGCCACTGAGGAATTCCCATTTTATTAACGTTAAATGTTTGTCAAATTAAATGATATACACATATTACATAAATATCCATAATTATTGTTAAAATATTATTGTGCAAAAGTGGTCATATACTATATTACACAGTACTTTTTTTCCCGATCTGTCAAATATCTGTGTATAATAATGCTAATCTGTATAACAGACTGTTGTCACAGTTGATTTCCTGCATCACTGTGATTCATGTCTCTGAAATTACTACAGTCTCATTCCTCACATATTAAAATACTTTCAGCTCAGACTAATATTTCATGCTCAGTTATTTGGGAAGCAGATGTGTAATAAATGGGACAATGTACAGCCAGATGATCAGGTGTTTTAGGTGTTTATGTTGTGATAACGAGTGGCTCAATCTAAATTATCCCTTACATTATAGATTAAAATTAATCATTGTCCCCCATTGTCGGTGCCTTGCTCAAGGGCACCTCAGTCGTGGTATTGAAGGTGGGAGAGAGCGCTGTACATTCACTCCCCCCACCTACAATCCATCAGCCTGATGAGCAGTACATGCAGCAAACCACATTGCAGAGGCCTTCCAAAAGCCAGCGTCCTCTTCCACCCTTACCCAGCCCCCAAGGTCCTCCTTGTGTTGCACCCCCATAAGAGAACAACCTAGACTTCAAAGACATTGAGACTAATACCAGGACACAAAGGGACTACCAATGAAAACTAGCCGTTGAGCTAATTTGGGTACATTTGTACCCTTTTTTGGAACTAAATAAATAAATAAACAATTCTGAATGTAATATTGTATATAGAATTGATAATATACACTATTGGTCACAAAAGTTAGGAATAATTAAGTAATAATTAAATAATAAAAATAATAAATAAAATAATATATTTTTGAGTCTCTTAAGCTCACCAACACTGCACACCAAAAAAGTTTTATTTTTATTAAATTATTAATAATTGATCACCAGCACTAATAACTGAGCATCAAATCGTCATATTGGAATGATTTCTGAAAGATCATGTGATACTGAAGACTTGAGTAATGATGCTGAAAATTCAGCTTTTATCATAGGAATAAATTACATTTGAAATATATTTAAGTAGAAAACAGTTTTTTAATTTTAATATTAATATTAGAATATTACTGTTTTTACTGTATTCTTGATCAAATAAATGCAGCCTTGATGAGCATACTTACGATAAGCCACTTTTTTCAATAACAAACAAACAAAAAAAATCGTAATCATTCCAAACTCTTGAACGGTAGTGTATGTAAAAGATTTAGACGCATCTGCCCATGTTTTTTATTTTTAACTATTTTGAACATTTTATAATAATTGTATAGTCATCAATAAAGCAGCACAAATGGATGCTGTTTTTCATTTATTTATTTATTTTTGGTTAAGTATCCACACTTTTTCTCATGCTTTTACATAGTATGCTGGATGTTTAATGGATTAAACACCACTGAACTCTCTCTCTCTCTCTCTCTCTCTCCCAACGAGTTGGTGTTTTTTCAATGTATGCTTCAGATACGAGTCACGACGAGGCGTTCCCCATAGCGACCCCTAGAGGACGCAGTTCGAAGTTCCCATGAAAGGGAAATACAATTTTTTGAGCGTTTGTATGTTTCTTATTTGCTTTTGAAGATTTTTTTTATCATCTAAATAACTCATAATAATAGTATAGCTAATACGAATAATGAAATTAATTAGTGAATTAGAAATTAGTTAAATTAATCAAATGTAAAAATAACACACTGCATAGTCTTCAGTCTTATTAAAGTTAGTAAAGTTACTCAGCGAAGAGCAGAGAATGATTCTCTTGTTTTCTTTCATTGTTTGAGTAGCCTAACATTAAATGACAAACACAGCAGCAGGTTTAAGACTTGAGTGAACTGAATGTGTTTAAGTGAAATCTCATGAATGTGATATTTTGAAATATTTTTGTGTGTATTTGTCCATTTATGCAGCCAAAGTAGCCTATGCTATACTTGTCTGTGTTTCACTCAGTGTGTCTTTCGCAGCTCAATATCCTTGCAATATGCTGACTGTATATTATGAAACATTGGCACCTTACATGATTTGACTGAGGGCAAGGGGGCCCCCGGTGGTTCAGGGGCCCTACGCAACTTGCGTACTTTATGTAGGGAGGCATTAAACAAGATGTCACTAAGCATTACATTTACCTCAAGCAAGTCATTTAGTGTTTACACAGCACATTTGTTTGCGAGAGGAATGTCCAGAGAAGAACATTTAGCTAAATATTAGTCTATTTATTATATTTTACTTAACCTGTTAGTGTTGTCTTAAATATTTATGCTTAAATAAATCTGTCATGAAAATTGTCATGTAAATTATTATATATATTTCAAAAAGTGCAATTTACATGTTTGTGTACTTTTATGAGTGTTGATTATTATATCTAAAAATGAATAGCAATTCAATTTTAAAGTTGTTAATTGTAGCCTTAAATATCATAATAAGGTGCAAGTAATAGGGGCTCCCTAAGGTTTACAACATTAGCTGAGGTTGAATTTTTATCCTTAAGTAAATGTATATTATAATTTAATGTATTGAATTTTATGTTTAGTATACATACTATTTAAATTTTAATTATATATGTATGAGTATTTAAAATGTTCTAATATTTTATTTTAAAATATTTATATGAAATATTTAAAATGCAATTTATTCCTGTGATGTCAGTGCAGAATTTTCAACATCCTCCCAGTCTTCAGCGTCACATGTTCCTTCAGAAATCATTCTAATATGCTGATCTGGTGCTTAAGAACATTTCCGTGCTTAAGAAGCATTCATTATCTATTATTACTATTATTCATTTAGGCCTATCATTTATTATTACTTTTTACAATCAATGCTGAACACAGTTGTACTGCTTAATATTTTTGTAGAAACCTTGGCTTGATCATTTTCAAATACAAACAAAGAAACAAATTATTGCTGTAGGGTATAGCTTTACTGCAGTTTAACAACTAACTACTTAAATAATGAGTTTGACAAACGCCCTCAACACTGGACAGATTCTCACGCTCAACTTCCACTTCCAAGAAACACTGCAGATGATCACCACTAGAGAGAGCTTTTGGTCAATCTATGTTGGATTCACGATATTTAAGACTGCATTTGATATAGACATTACAATCTACTTTCTCCATCTCTCTTCCTTCCTCAGTAACATCAGTGTGACACTTTCATTGTGAAATAACAGCAGGTCACAACAATGATACCAAGTCTTTGGCCTGCTGAGCAAGCTTATCCATCCACACGTTTTTATCATATTTATTTCTGCAAGATGAGGCAGAACAACATAACTCTACTCTGTTCTGCTCTGCTATGTACTGACAGGAATGGCATGACTGAATGCAAAGAGTTGATTAGTATTTTGGTTTGAAATGAGTACAATGTGGTCAATTTCCTAAATGAGTGAGATGATTAAATAGATCATCAAACTCAGTACTGACGACATTGTGAGTTTGATTGACAGTCCACTGTCATTAGTCACTGTCACAGTAGTATTCTTGTTTGCATATGGTAATCTGGGTTGTACTGGTGTTGTGAATCCAGCACAGAGCCAGCTAGCTGGTCTTTTGTTATGCAGGCATGTCTGTAGGGTGTGCCGTGTTTGTTCTCAAAGCACTAATACTGGGAGGATCTGTTCTCAATGAAGGTCTGTAGGAACTGTGAAAAGGAGTGTGATTGTACCTTAACGAATTCTGGCTTTATGGTCATGCTGTGTGTGTGTGTGTGTGTGTGTGTGTGTGTGTGTGTGTGTGTGTGTGTGTGTGTGTGTGTGTGTGTGTGTAAGGTTTACAACATTAGCTGAGGTTGAATTTTTATCCTTAAGTAAATGTATATTATAATTTAATGTATTGAATTTTATGTTTAGTATACATACTATTTAAATTTTAATTATATATGTATGAGTATTTAAAATGTTCTAATATTTTATTTTAAAATATTTATATGAAATATTTAAAATGCAATTTATTCCTGTGATGTCAGTGCAGAATTTTCAACATCCTCCCAGTCTTCAGCGTCACATGTTCCTTCAGAAATCATTCTAATATGCTGATCTGGTGCTTAAGAACATTTCCGTGCTTAAGAAGCATTCATTATCTATTATTACTATTATTCATTTAGGCCTATCATTTATTATTACTTTTTACAATCAATGCTGAACACAGTTGTACTGCTTAATATTTTTGTAGAAACCTTGGCTTGATCATTTTCAAATACAAACAAAGAAACAAATTATTGCTGTAGGGTATAGCTTTACTGCAGTTTAACAACTAACTACTTAAATAATGAGTTTGACAAACGCCCTCAACACTGGACAGATTCTCACGCTCAACTTCCACTTCCAAGAAACACTGCAGATGATCACCACTAGAGAGAGCTTTTGGTCAATCTATGTTGGATTCACGATATTTAAGACTGCATTTGATATAGACATTACAATCTACTTTCTCCATCTCTCTTCCTTCCTCAGTAACATCAGTGTGACACTTTCATTGTGAAATAACAGCAGGTCACAACAATGATACCAAGTCTTTGGCCTGCTGAGCAAGCTTATCCATCCACACGTTTTTATCATATTTATTTCTGCAAGATGAGGCAGAACAACATAACTCTACTCTGTTCTGCTCTGCTATGTACTGACAGGAATGGCATGACTGAATGCAAAGAGTTGATTAGTATTTTGGTTTGAAATGAGTACAATGTGGTCAATTTCCTAAATGAGTGAGATGATTAAATAGATCATCAAACTCAGTACTGACGACATTGTGAGTTTGATTGACAGTCCACTGTCATTAGTCACTGTCACAGTAGTATTCTTGTTTGCATATGGTAATCTGGGTTGTACTGGTGTTGTGAATCCAGCACAGAGCCAGCTAGCTGGTCTTTTGTTATGCAGGCATGTCTGTAGGGTGTGCCGTGTTTGTTCTCAAAGCACTAATACTGGGAGGATCTGTTCTCAATGAAGGTCTGTAGGAACTGTGAAAAGGAGTGTGATTGTACCTTAACGAATTCTGGCTTTATGGTCATGCTGTGTGTGTGTGTGTGTGTGTGTGTGTGTGTGTGGCAGTAGGTCACTGCAGTATAACTGAGGTCCTGAGCCAACAACCATATGCTCTGCATCAACAAGAAAAAATAGTAGCACATACAACGACTTGAACACAAGTGTTACTCACAGTGGCTTAGGCTACCAAAAGGTACCCTGACCTTTGAGCCTTAACCCACGCTCCCAACATCACCTGACCTCTGTCCAGAATATCCTGAGTATTTGAAATGTTTGCACATATTCATACAAACAAATGTTTTAATGTTTTGATATACGTTTGTCTGTCTGTGTGTACACAGTGGGTATATACGCAGATACAAAATGGGATCCAAAAGCCTGAGGCCACTCATGATAATGCTTCTATTTTGTATTCTTTTTTAATTTTAATATAACTTTATTCATTACAAATGATATTACAATTTACATTAAATAAACTAGTAGATTTCTAGTAGATTTAGATTTGAACTAAAACATCTTGCAAATGAGGAACATCTGCAGTTTTTCATACAATATTCAGAGTATTGCAATGCTGAGTTGCAAGAAGCTATTGTACAAATGCTATCCAGCAGAAATGAAATGCACAAAGGAAAAATAAATAAACAAACAAGAATACTTTTTAAGTTTTTTTAGTTTACTTAAGTGCACACAAACAGACGTGTGTCTTCAAGTGTTTCTTAAACGTTGCTGGTAACGGTCTTAGCAGATCAGCTTCAAAGCTTGTTCCACCACACAGGAACGGAAAGAGTGAAGGTTCTGGAAAGCGACTAACTTAAGAATTTAAAAATCTTTTAATGAATTTTAGAATTTGGTATGATTTGTTTTGCTTTAATAACACACGGGCAGCATTAACTCCATGTGCATGTTTATGTGTAAAACGTGACGATCACATTATGCCGCGTGATTTGAGAATCCAAATAGCATCTTGTGCTTCACTGGAATCAAGAAAATCTGATGTTGGAGCAAAGAGTTCACATGATAGATGTTCTAGTGACCTAGAAATAGTGCAGAATATTAAACATTCTGTAATCATTTTACAGCCTAACTTACCTTTCTGTTAAAAAATATCAAAATCCTAAAACTTCCTTCAAAGTTAAAAAAAAAAATAGACTGTCAATCTTTGGCTTTCACTGTATTTATGCATAAATGTATATACATGTTGACAGTCTATGATGAGAAGAACAGGTATGCAATGACTTTCTCTCAGAGATGAAAGGACAGATAGGCTAATGAGGGCGATTTCTTGCCATAAATGATTCATTCTGCACCGTTCTGAGAACATGTGAGGAATAGAAGTAGAAGTAGGTGGTTCGGGGTCTCTCTGGACTGTTTGAGTTATTCTGGGAGATAATTAGTGCCTGTATTGTGCCTGCACTGTCACGACTCAGCGCTGCTCAGCAACGGGTGCGGCGGCGGTACCTGCGGCGAACAGCACGGCCGTGTCCCCTGCCTTATCCAATAGAGGGAAAATATCCACACTCACACACACTCACACACACACTTCCGGACACGACTGTGCCAATCCAACCCTCTGTCCTGAGTTTTATCATGCAGCATGCGCAGATCTACCACCATTCACAACGATAAAGGACTAAACAGCGCGACGCTCGCAAAACTTTATTCAACTTTATTGCCGGGGGAGATTTGTTCGCCGCTCTCACGGGAGGATTTCACACTCTCTGCCCGGTTTGAATGACAAAGGCGATCCCGTGGGAAAATCATCCGCCTTCACAACATGGATAAAGGAACGGGACTGCGTCCTGTGGTTTTGATTTTTGCTCTTGGTAAGTTGACTAGTGCTTGATCAAGTAACGCCTGTTCTCATTATTCTAAGGTAACATGGAGGCTTATAAAATGCGTTGGAAAAGTATATAGACCTATTTGTATTTGATTAGTTTAGACAACAAGAAAAACTATAGATATACATTGCGTCTTTATTAAAGGTACATATTACTACTTTAAGGTACTAATATGTCCCTTTGAGGGCACGCTGTTGGACCCCTAAAAGTAAAATTGTGTTGATTAAAATTGATCATACTGCCAGTTCCAACACTGGGCAAATATATGTGTATCACAAGGGTTTGTTCAGACTCTGTGTTTTAAATGATTATAAATTCATGCATATTATTGGTTATAATTAAGTTGAGTTATATATGTTGCCATTGTATCAGCTCCTGCACTTTAGAAATCTTTGCAAACTTGCAAACCTTTATTTGTTGACTACAGGCCCGGTGCTAAGCACCCTCAAACGAAATCAATAGCATCCTCAGTTAATGCTGTAATAATGGCATTTTATTGCAGATTTGGCAAACTATCCAGTGCTTTATGGTTTGCGCTCTGGAGATCGGTTTCTCTTTCAACATCTTTTGCAGTATTGAGCAATGTAGCCAATCACAGACATATCTGTTGGTTTCTTGAACCCAACAGCCAATCAGAGGCCTTTAAGTTAGAATCCACTCACCGCTCAAATTGCCGCATTTTTTGTTCAGGTGTTGTGTTCAGCACAAATCATCTCATTATAACAAAAGTGTAGACGCGATGTAAATAAGAGATTCATCGTGCAGCATAGAGAACTTCATTGATTATAATGTAACTTTGTGAGATCACGATGAACTAAGATGAGTGACAGCTTTTAGTGATTATAAAGGGAACGCTCAGCAATGGACGGCCCAAATATATATATTTCCCAAAGAAATTATAACTTATACAAATAAAAATACATCAGCAGAGGCCTGTTCTAACTGCCTAATACAAACAAAACTAAACTGAGTTGATCAAAATAAAAAGCAGGCTACTCCTACACTCCAACTTCTGAACCCTGTAAAGCCTGACGGGTTAAATCATAAAAAAAAAAAAAACACAAAGTATTTTATGGCTCTTATAGTAGGAGAATATGGAGCTCATACTCATGGAGGAAGACAAAACTCCTAAATTTTATTTAGAGGCCCAAACTGAGCAAAAGTGTCCAATTTGATGCAGTTGCTGATATTTATATGACCAAAAATAAGATGAAATTCTTATTGTAATCAGCTTGTAATTTAAATCAATAACATCTTTATAACAGTATGGCAGAATACTTGTATAAAATGCATATTAATATCAGTTGTCACTTTATATTCACCAATAAAATGTCTTAAGATGATATTTAAGTTTTATGATCAAAGCTCTTTTTATTTTTATTGTGGGGGCAAAACATATGATGCATAGCAATACAGTGATGGTTGAGAGATGAACAAAAAAATGTCTCAAAAGCTTAATGTATCATATTTGATACTCGCATTTAACGTGATTTTTCTAAAAAATATATTTATGGTTAATCAGGTAAATATAAGTTGCTTCAAAGCAATACAGTGATGGTTGAGAGATGAACAAAAAAATGTCTCAAAAGCTTAATGTATCATATTTGATACTCGCATTTAAAAAATATTTCAAAAAAATATATTTATGGTTAATCAGGTAAATATAAGTTGCTTCAATCCAGTAAAGGTTATCTTGAAATATTACTAAATATAGAACTTATTCTTACGTTTACATCATAAAAATCAGTAAAGATTTCACAGCCAAATGTGAACCACGACCTGAAGAGGGATGTTTTTACAATTATGCTAAAAGGCCTTTTACCTGCTAAAAAGTATAAACTATCAACCAGATGACAGATGGCATGTAAAATATTGTGTACAATAGTTCTTTCAGTAAAGTTTTGATCACGTTGATTTATTTGGAGTCCTTAGAAAATGTGTATCAGATATGTTACAGTAGACTTTATAAAGTGAAACAAGGTTGCACTAAAAGTTTAAATGGAACTTGATGCACTCCACGGCTTGAAGACAAAAATACAAAGACTTATTCTTTGTTCTGTCGACTTGAGTAAAAGCCTGCGGCGCTTAACGGATGAGCTCTGAAGCTTTTTTTAAAGACATCATTCTGGTATTATCACTTCATTCCACTTTTGGAGATGGACAAAAAGAACTCTTCCACACCAACAAAGAAAAATAATAGCACAAGCAGAGCACTGAACAACACAGGGGACATATGAGATGAATAGATCAAAATCTTTAATGAATCTTTACATCTGACTGTTTAAGATTATATCTGACTGATCCAGCTTTATTTGTAGATTTTCTGGGTCAGTAAATGAGTTAATGTCCATATCTTTGTGAACATTTCCTTGCATTTGTAGATTTGTTTTCACTGTGAGAATTGTATGTTGTCAGGCTTTATAGAGGACCATTAAGGAAGCAGTCACCATTAGGAATTTCC